AAGATTGATTACCCCTATGAGTTTCATGACAACATTGGTTTTTATTGAAATGTGTTAACGATGTTGCATATATGCTGAAAAGTGAAAAAAAAGCATAACTTCTACAATAATGGCCCGATCATGCTTATTTTCGAACTTGACCTGCGTTTTATGAATACTCATCAGCTCTGTAAATATAAAGCCAAAAAGTAAAACTGTCTTCCACTTATCGTGTTAATGCTGAAAGTGCACGGCGACGGCGACGGCGACAGGGACGGCGACGACAGACGCAGGTGATGGCAATATGTTCAGACACATCTGTGTCTGTACATAAAAATGTTTTACCATGGATTTCAAAGCCAGGTAATTATCCACTTTAATATTTTGGTCCACTGAAAAGAAAAAAAAACACAGTAAGACAACAATATATATATATAAAACAAGTTTGAATAACACCCAATAAATGCACACAAAAATCTTTATCTCCATATGACAATTCAACCTTTTACTGCAAGCACCCTGTGGTTTCACAAAAATTACAATACAAAACATTTACGTACTTCCAACACAATATGAAACAATGAAAATTACCCATGAATTTGATATCCTCAATGGCCTTCCTGAGCTGCTCTTGGTTGATGGAGTAGCTGGCAGCCTCTCTGGCAGCGTCCTCTATGTTATGGGCCTCATCTAAGATTACAATTTGGTCCTCTAAAGCAATCTCCATCTGCAATAGTATAAAGAGAATATCTGTCACAGAATGCATGATGTGAAACCAATGTACATAATGCATTTTACAACCATCAATAGAATACAAGAGAACAGAATTTACACAAAGTTAAATATCACTTTTATTAAAATAAATTTATGTATGTGTAAAAAAGCAAATAATTTTTAGTTGGACAGACTTTTCAACCTTGGATGTTTGACAGAGAATGAAAACTTCATAAGTGGAAAAAACATATTTCCTTTTTTTAATTTAGGATTACGCTGCTTCACATAATTTCTTTGTAAAACCACAACCCCAAGATACTTACATTTTCTCTTATAACAGGATCTATTAAATAATTATAGGGACAGAAAATTATCTGAGCATCAGTCTTTAACCCCCTTGCACCATAATATGGGCAAGCCTAAAATTTTGAAAAAGATATGATATTGATATCTTAGCCATAAAAATAACAAGCACTGTCATTAACAGAATATGTATACTAAGTTTAGATCACTTTGGGATATTATTTGATAATCTGAATGTCTTTATTTAAAATACTGCTGCTGAGGCAAAAATAGACTCGTACTGACAAAATGGACAGGTTGTATTATTTTGACACTCAAATGAAAAAGAACTGAAAAAAAATTTCATATGCAGTACACATACTCTTTTTTTCTTGCAGACTCCAACAAAATCTTCAATATCCCAAGCTGTTGCCAGTCCATAGGCCCTGATGCTGCTCTGGTTAATCCTGTACACATTCTCAAAGTAGTTGCATTGGTTGTGCTGGACATTAAAAGAGGAAAATTTCATTTGTCTCATCATATGTGGACTACAGAATGGGTGGATTTTTCAGTGGAAGGGAAGGCAGTCCTGTATCCAGCAGTATGAAAGGGGTCTTCATTTTTTCAATGTGGACCTTTTAACCCCCCTTATATTGGATGACCCAACTTGAGGAATGACATAAAAACCTTGAAGAAATTTCGATTCTGAGCAAACCTTTTTCAGCCAAAAGGGTGGTTCTTTTTTAAAATCTTCCTGCCTTTGGGCCTGGTAGACATGTTAATAAAATAGAACTGTAGCAACAAACTGTAATAACATTACATCTGTACATTATATGATCCATAATTATAATAGCCAATATGTGACACAAATCTAGATCATATCCACCACCAACTATGCGGCTTGTTACATTTTAAGTGTTCACAAAAAGAAAACATAACAAGCATAACAAGCACACAGCCAGAATATCAGCACACTACATACGTACATCCAATTTTTCCCTGCATCCGTCATTTTTATTAGGGCCATTGGACACCTCTGGGTGGATACAGGTGTGCTCTCGGCTGGAGAGGATACACATTCTGTGAAAAGAAAGAAATAAAAGAATCAGCCATACTCTTGTACATGCCATTTTTTTGTGTTCCATTAAAACATTGTCTCTTAGTTTCAAATTGCATTAAAGACAGTAAAAAAATTGCTCCAACAGATGTATAGTCCTTTTCTTGATATAACTCATATAGTCAGCACTCAGTTTGGCCCTCTACAATTATTGATTAAGTATAAATCAACCTTTATATATTGTCTTTAATTTATCTCTTGAAGGAAAAATTGAAATGCCCAAAGAAGGAAATACAAGGGCAGTTCTTCACTTCTTTGATTCTCTACCTGCAGTTCAATGCACATTTGCCTCTCTGTGGGCAGTTCATTGTTAGTTTTCCTCTCTGAGGGCTGTTCATTGTTATTTTGCCTCTTTGAGGGCTGTTCTGCACTTACTTTGCCTCCCTATAGGCAGTTCTGCCAAGTTCATGAACAATCTGAGATATCTGCTTGTGAGTCCTGGTTCCAAAGTAAATTTTTGGCACTCTGAAAAAATAAACGTATAAGTAAAGCAGGAGGTAATTATTTGTATATTCAACAAAATAACAACAACAATAATAATATGCTTATAAAAAAAATAATCGACTGCAAAATCTTACACTTCTGAATAAAACATATATCAATACTCATACCAAGAAAAAAAAGCAATTTCATTATCCCCACATTAAAATTTTTCTTTCCCTGATTCCATCGTTCCACATACTTTTGTAAATTTTTCAAATATCAAAACTTAAAGATACTGATATCAACATACTTCCTCCTCTCCCCAGATAAGTTGTCCCCACCAGCAGCACAGTCTGCCTCCTTATTTTTCCTCCTGCACACACAGGCAGCACAGGGCGTGGCAGCGGGTGTGGCATTGGTCAGCTGGGCAGCATAGGATGACCCCACAGTACTAGTGATCTGCATTGTCCAGGCAGGGGGTCCAGCCGCAGGTGGGTTGACCATTGAGGGTCCACTCTTTTCTTCCTCCTCCTCATCTTCGTACGCGACACCCTTGTGGACTCTTTTGACTCCTACCTGCCCACCTGGAGTGCGGAATTTTTTGGTGGGGCGGAAGTCTTCATCTTCTTTCTCTGCACTGTTTTGATTGGATTGGATTGTGTGAGTGCTGCCACCTATTGTGGGGTTTTCCTTCATGTCAGACGTCCCAGCAGCAGTGGTATTGCTCCCTCTGCTTACAGTGTTTGGTGGAGTTTCACCTAGGTGACATTAGCACAAGTCTAATTTATAAACATAATAAATTAGACTTGTACTTTTGTCACCTAGATGAAACTAAATGGAAAATGAATAAATAATCCTCCACACAAAAAAATAATTCATGTTACTTTTTCAATCTGATTCTTAACTATAGCACTTAACTATTGGTCACTGAAGTAGTATTCACAAACAGAAGGTGAAGTGGAGAAGCAAGTTTTAGTACGGGCCATGCAAGGCTCTTTCGTGTACTAAGATGCAAGCAGAAAATGTCTAAAGTGTTCTGGCACAGAGGACCTTGAAAGTAACAGCAGCAACCAAGTCAATATGGGCAAAGTTTTTTGATTTACTAAAATCTATTTTTGCAAAATTAGTTCGATTCAGTCACAGAGCAACAAAATGGTTCCAGTGAAGTTTTTGAGAAAAAGATCAAGACTTACAACTCAAAGGAGAAGGAAACAGGGTCTCCTAAAGCTATGAGTTAGACATTTTGGAGAAGCTAGGGCAGCTTGAATCCAGAGCACACAATAACAATGACACAGAGCAACAAACTCAATCAACCATATTTTTTGACAAAAAGATTGAGACATCTGAGATTTGCGATTCAAAGCAGAAGAAAACAAGCCTGAGGACCTCACATAGCTTCAATTCAGACACTCTTTAGAGGCTAGAGAAGCTTGAATGCAGAGCACACTATGACAAGAAATCCATCCAAAGAGAAAGTGCTCGTGTGTAATAAACATATCCGCACTGCCAATTCTTCCCCTGTCGGTTGGATCAGAGTCAAAGACTATCAAATAGCTTATTATGCTGATGATTCTGGTGAAAAATGAAAAATTTCAAGAACAGAGAGCTTGGCCAAGGTAACCGAAATAATCCAGATTGTACCAAATACCCTTATAGCTCCTGGAGCAGCGACATTTTTGCCTTACCTAACCCCTACGACAGCAGCAGGTTCAGCCAGTCAAATGAATCCTTGTCCTCTTCCAAGTTTTCCTACTACTCAGTTTCTGTTTTTTCGTGGGACTTGCTGACCAAGACCTTAAGACCTTTGCTCCCATTGAATCTGACCAACTCATTGGAAAACAATCTGCTGGAAAAGCCTCATGGAACCAAAAAGTGAAGTTTTTCAGATATTTTCTTGACTCAAGGATGGATCAGGGGTAAAATTAGAGAGGGGTGAGAAACGGCCATTGTCCTCATCGGAAGGTCAAACAATTTTCACGCATAGATAGAAAACCCTGAATTGTGGGAACGTTACTAATGAGGCCACTGGAGTAGATGTCCGTCCATAGATGACACAGCTTGACTGACAAGTGACAGGTTGTCAAAAACAGAAGACCCAGGTGTAAAAGTTTTAATCCAAGAATGTCTTCTTGACCACCTCCAAAAAAAATTTTGTATTCATATATTTCTAACAATTTGTGGAATCCAGAAATTTGTCCACAATGATGAGCGTAGCTTTTTATGCAACAAAATGGGCTCAGAATTGAACTGATTATTCCCATCCCACAGATTCCTATTTCTCAAAAAGCATCAAAGAAGGAGCTATTTGAGAAGTTTCTAGTGCAACAATGCAGAAAAAAATATTTTACATAAACACTGAACAGTTTAAGTAGATTAGTACACAAATGAACAAATTTATATCAAGAGATGTAAAACAGACGTTTAAAATACAGGTGCAAAAATATGTATAACAAGAACTTTTTCTAAAACATGTCCAGTAGCTCTCTTATCAAGGTACTTGAGTTCAGCAGATGTATTAATCTGTCAGTGTATTTTTGTAAAAAAAATTTTATTAATTAAAAAAATAATAAAATAAATAAAAAGCATACAAATTAAGAAAAGGAAACATTTCTCTTTCATATGGAAGAGCTAGAGAAATTAAATTATCAGCAATTAAAAGTTTTGGTTTGGATGAAAACCAATTTGCTACTCATGGCTTAAGATCAGATGGGGCCACTGTAGCAGCAAGTCAAGGAGTACGGGGCAGATTATTCAAAAGACATGGAAGATGGAAATCTGAGAATGCAAAACACAGCCACATAGAAGAAAATTTAAGGGAAATAATATTGTTTCAACAATGAATTGACTAGTTATCTTTCTTTATCGTCAAAAAAACAAAAAAGTACAAGAAATGAGCACTTCATCCCACATTACTGAGTCTGTGTTCATATTATAAATATTGTACAAAAGTTTGAGACCAACGAATCAGAACATGAAGTAAATATATTTACCTTGGAGTACATTGGCTGTAATGTGACTGTGTACCAGCAGTGGGTGTGGCTGGACATAGGGAGGTTCCAGGCCAGTGGGGTAGAGACCACTTGAAGGGTTCCCAGCTCCACAGGTACAGGGACCAACTGGACTGCTAGCTAATGAGATAAAGATTACAAAGTGGGGTTAGCCTACCCTTTATGGACCATTCCCAGACCCTATTGTAATAACTGTGGATCAATCTATCTCCAAGGGAATTCTCGCTAAATTGCAATCAACTTAAGCAGCTTAGATGTCTGTCACACCTACTGAAGCTGCCAGGGGGTAATTAATTATCGTTTAGCAGCTTCAGTAGGCATTCCAGACATCCAAGCCTCTTAAGCTGAAAGCAATTTAGCGAGAAACCCCTCAAAGATGGATTGATCCTGTAAGATCGACCTAAGTAGGGGAACCCAGTCTTAGGTACCCCTGAAAGTGGACAATACTTGGTCTTTGCTATGCACGTCATCATGTGAACTAATTCAAATATCTGACACTCACGTACATTGAGAAACTTTCCTCAGATACTGCACAGGTACAATCAATATTTGTTTATTATGTGCAGAGCCAAAATAATTTGTTTTATCTTGCACAGGTACCGAAGTGATACACGACAATGACTTTTTAAAAACATGGTTGAAGAAAAGTAAGAATATGACTTTATTAATATTATCAAAATTGCCATAAATGAAGATAGAATATTCAGTACATACATGTAGATATATATATGTATAGCAAGCAGACTTTGGCAAAATCCACCCAAATTTCATCAAATCATTGCACTACTCACAACATTTATCTTCATCCTGTTTTTTACTTTCTTTCTCAGCTTTCTCTGAAATCAACCATAACACCAGAAAAATTAGCCTTCTCTCAGTATAACCAAACCTCCAAAACAATTTAAAGTCTTGGACATGAACATTTCAAAATATCTCACTAAATGCTTTAATGAATATCATTTAAATAAAATTTGTGCAAACTTTATTTTATTGATATATGATGCTCTCATGTGTATCAAAATTACCTACATCTGCAGATGTCTACTTGCCTGCATATAGTTGGTATTACTTACCAGATTCTGCTTCTTGCCAAGCCAAGGCAGAACACAATAAAGCCAAACTCTTTCCACTGCCTGTGGGGCTTTCAAGCAAACAGTTTTGCCCACGTTCTATGCCCTTCACAATCTAAAAAAAAAGTTTTCAGAAGATATCCACTGATTACAATGAATAAGACTATACGAAATATGGTTATTATACCATGTGGCATAATGAAACATTACCCAACACATGCTAACAATTGCATATATCAACAATTTATATTTAAGCACAGAACCAAACCACCACTTACTGGGGCAGACCTGGAAGAAATGCTTCTTTTTTTTTTCTTTTTTCAGAAGTTGGCTTTAATTATCATTGTTTGTAAATTAAATATAAATTTATTTTGGCTATTTCTAGTATTTTGCGTACTAAATAATGCACTGTCCATGAGTTCGATATACCGACTTCCTGCCCAAGTCCAGCATGTTGCAGTCACTCTCTCTCATTCATTGTTCGGCACAGCCAGGCAACAGACCAACATTCCAGAAATGGACACACAGCCGAGTTTTGCACATTTTTCCAACATATAGGACGACAAAGTTTCAAAAGGCAGAAAAAATTATTTGGAGAATACAAATCAGCAGTTTTCTGATATACTGGACAATGAACTCATTAGTGCAATCCAAAATGTAGAGAAATATCATTCTGAAACGATGCAGCAATTTTCTGACAAATAGGACGATGAACTTCTAGGCACAAGTCAATAGGAAGAAATTTAGACACGAAAAAAAAAGGACCAAATAGACCCAAGCATTTTCTTTTGAGAATGAAAGAAAGCTGTGGTCATTAAAAGCACTGGACAACTACAATCCCAAAGTAATCGTGTGCACACTGCACTACTTGAATGGCAAAAATTTTAGATTGCGAGGTGGGCAGGAACATCAATGACCACAACATAAATCACTGCAGATTACGCTCCACGAACCTGAAGGTGCTGACTTGAAATATTCAGAAAACGTCTCTAAAACATGTCAAGATGGTCTCAAAAAATCGTAAATTAGTTCCAAAACAAATGACCCAGTTTGCTCATGCAGACTGCCTGGAGCAATGTCATGTAAGAATTTACGAGAAATATAGGGAATTATTCCCCAAAGATAGCAAAGACGATGCTTTCTATCTCCAGCCTTTGCAGAACTGACGGGGAGACAGTGATAGCCAATTGGTATGAATACTCCATTAAACTTTACCAGAGAAATGTGTAAAAAGGCTGGACTGAAAGGATTTTATACCAACCATCCTCTGCAGGCAACTACAGTGACGCATCACTTCAGGAGTGGTATCGAAGAGCAGCTGATTATGTCCAAAACAGGCCATCGTTCAGTTGAAGGTATGTGTAATAAATATCAATTCAACTGTATTGTTTGTGTGAACTGAACCATGCAGCT